TATGTTGGCTTTCTATAAACATCTCTTCCTAAAATACCCTCTTCTCTAATGATGAGAACATCCAGATAAATTAAAGACTTATTATCTTCCATTTCCATCGTGAACCTAATGTTCCTTTCACGCTGGTTGAGTGAAAGTAGGAAAAAATCCAAACTTTCCTTACAATGAGGCCAAATGACAAAATAGTCATCTATGTATCTAATCCACAATTTGGGGTTACTTTTGCCTCGCAAGAAATGTTCCTCCAGTCTTGTCATATAATTGTTCGTAAAAATGAGAGCCGGGCAAGATCCCATCGCTACTACTTGGGTAAAATATGTACTACTCATGGATAGGTTAATAAGTCTAATAACGGAAGCTACACTCAGCCTTACTCCTTGTGTTGCCTCTGGATGCTCCTCCAGAGTTCGTATCAGAGCTTAATTAGGAATGCATTGGTACAGAGACACACCATCAAAACGTATTAGCCTATCCTCTTCTGAAATCATTTGCTGACCAATTAATTTTACAAACTCATAAGAATTGTAAACGGAATATAGCCAAAAATTGGCAGATTTCCTTAGTTGTATGTATAAAAATCATGAGAGCCGGATAGTCTTCTTGCCCTACTGTTAAAGTGAGACTTATACAAGAATGAGACCCAGCTCTGATGATGTGTATCGAATGATGGGCGAAAGCCCAGCCCATTTTCACCCGAAACGCGAGAGGAGGTCTAGTGGACTGAGTCAACATGAACGTCACATTAAAGCCAAACGGCTGCATTACAACGGGATTCAGCCGTCCTCTTCTGGTGAGATCAACCTACGAATCTCTTCTTCATGCACTTTCATATTAAATGAAAGTCCCCCCAACAATGTTATCTCAGGAGATTAATCGAAACCCAGTTTATCTTCATTTCTATAATTTTACAATCTCAATGAAATAATCGTCCTTTGATTTGCTGCGAGTGCAATTCACTAATTCCTTCCAACTTACTTTTCTTTCGAAATTCAAAGTCGATTCACACTAACTCACTAAGGCAGTTTTATAAATCAAGCTTTTCGTCATGTCACTATGCAGACACATTCATCTTCAGATCAACCTTGTGACTCGACACTCTGATCGTCAACATTCGTTATGACGATAGGTCCAGCCTGCGCCCCCTCAGTGCTCGGGGTGACTCGCGCTGGGACGATGAGGTCCCGAAGGAGGGAGCGAAACCGCGAGCCAATCCAATTTTTAGTTTAAATCACAGAATTGATGACATAGCATCGAAAAAAAATGGACTTTTCAGTTCGAAAGAAATGTTGGTCGTAAAGGATTCGTAAATTGGCCGTACCGGATACCGACGGATTTGTGACTTCTGGACTGTACAAGTAAGTCCTGGGTGCACCGTGACCAGTTTTCGTCCTTACCACTTTACGAAAAATTCATCAGGCACTAAAACAATGAGGGTTTTGTGGTAGCTCCCGTTTCATGTGAAGATATCTGATGTAGAGATTTGTAAGCTGATCTCACCAGAAGACGACGCCTGGTCCCCGTATTTTCTGCGGCGTCGTTCAGGTCGGTGCAGTCCACGAGACATCCTCTCTAGTTTAGAGACATCGTCAAAACCTAGAATCCGTTCCTGCTTAAGCCATTTATCGCTTCAAAAGTAGACATTTTGAGATTAACAGCTTTTATATCAAGAAAACTAGCCCGCTCTATCATACATGCTATATATACCGATAATAAAAACTTGTTTAGTTAGTATACATGGTGATATGTATATTGATATTCTTAAGTGTATGTGATTGTTTGTGAGTGTGTACTTATATCTGTACTCATGCAATTAAAAGCATTAAACAATAATGCCTAAATGAAGGTATGAAGACCAAGATGGTGTGGCCTTTTGTGTGGTCGCAGTCTCTTTTCGTTGTATAGAAGTTGTCTGAACTTGTTTTCGCAATTCGGTCAACTTGGTAGGAAGACTTAGATGAACGCACCTAGTCCGAAGTCCATTGTAAGCATCATCATTTCCAAAGTTGAACCGTGGACGTGGTATATTCCCAAACGTTTCGCCGGCATCGTAGTCGGCAGCCATTCGTAACACCATATTACAACTCGTCAAAGGGAATAGGTACTATTATAAAATGTATAATAGTATATTATATAATAATGTATCTTGTATTCCCCTTTGTATTTGGAATAGATACTATTATTAAATGTATAATATCATATAATATAATAATGAATCTTATCTTCCCCTTTGTCTCTTTGACGAGTTGTAATATGGTGCTACGAATGACCAGACTCCCTGACGATGCCGGCCAAACGTCTGGGAATGTACCACGTCCACGGTCCGACTTTGGTAATAATTATGCATACAATGGAATCCGGACTAGGTGCGTTCCTCTAAGTCTTCCTACCAATATGACCAAGTTAAGAAAACAAGGTCAAACAATTTCTATACAATAATGCCTAAATATGATATGTATTCAGCTGCATTCACTTATGGTAATGAAGGACTGACAGGTAAAGTTTCCCAAAATGATATGAGTAGGCCTCATGCTCCCATTACATTTCACATAGCGTTGCTTCACAAAAGGAAATTTCATCCAGACGGGAGTGGACGACAATTTCCGCCTCGTTGAAATGGTCCCATCAGCACCCAAGGATAGTCTCTAACCCAAGTTGCGCTAGTACACATTGACCACTACGCTACATTGCCACAAGTGCCCTTGGGTCCATAGTTGGCATTCTATGGTGGGAGTGTCGATAAAGCAAAGTTGAATTTCTTAAGACAATCGACTATATTACTTATTTTTTGTTTATAATTAGATTTCCGAGACTACCAGTATGTCATATATGCGAAATGTATTGTCTTATACGAAGTAGGTCAGATAAATCTTAAATAAATGATCTACTAGGAAACTCTAAAACCTATTTATAAACTAAAGTTATAGACTAAAGTTTGCTTTGAAGAGGTAGAGAGAGGGGGATGATCCTTACAATAAAAGAGATCTACAATAAAATTGGGACTTTGCATTCCCGCTACATAGAATGTCCAAAGCTCAGCAAGGAATCATCAGGATTGTCGAACGATATGCTGAAGACTAAGTCATTCAAATACACACACAACGCCAAGTTAAACCTTCTTGGGCATCCGATTAAGCCAACCTACAAGTTACTTTAACGCGTCATTTCAAAAGAAACGAAAGAGACACCGACTTTTCGCTTTGAAAAACTCTAACTTTGACACTCCGGCCAAACTCGATTTTGATATCCTCCCGCTAGTTCATTTGGGAGATTAGAAGTCGACGCCAGTAGGATGTGTCAAGGGATAAACGCAGCCGTATCCCTTTGATTCGGTAATTCAAAGTCCGTCTTCAGAGGCTGACACTTTTACAGTAAGATTAACCCAGTTGGTGTTCGAGCCTGGGTCGGTTAAGGTGAGTTAAGGACTGATAGTTGTTTTTTCCCTCATGTTTCCATTGAACTTAACGTAGTATCACTTCCATAAAGATATCCTCAGGGCAGGAGAAACACAGGCTGTCAATACATGTTTGCTTAATTCGCAATCCCATTTTACCTGCATCGAAGCCCCGTAGGGGTACTGTAATCGACCCTGGAGACATGTTTGAGTGGAATTCAATTATATCGTGAGGCCTACTAATGTCATTGTTGGAAAATTAAACTATTAATCCTATCAATTCTGCCTAAAATGAATAAGCTCGAAACCAGTTTATGCATTTACCTCTCAGCTACATGAGCATTTGTGATGAAGGTAAATTAATTTTCATTGGAGGAAGATTAGGGAGTCTGTAAGAATGTATGAAACAGCCAACATCCCGATTAGAAGGACCGAGTTTAGGCAGATGAGTATGACATATTTGTAGAAGCTGAGGCAGAGGGGGAGGCTGCATGAAGAAGCGCTGGGCAGGAGGAGTAGTTTCGACAAACCCAGAATCTGGTTAGGCTTTATCGTCCCACATAGTGCATAAGCATTACATGCACACAATGAATGTATGGTCAGAGCTTAAAACACGCTTCATATGCCAGTTTATTGAAGTAAGTAATTTGAAATCCTCCTCAGGCATCAAATTCATTCATCTGCAAGTATCCAAGTTGGGTATAAAGGGGTCAGGCAAATCGTACAATGCAAAATTAGGTGTAGGAAGTGAGAATATTGGCAACCTTTTTCGTGAATAATGATTTATGATTATGAGGATGTCCGTCACGCCACAGCCGCAGGCTCAGGAATATGTGCCGTGGACTTTTTGACACAACCAAAGCCTCTACACTCAAAGGTACTTCTCATTTGGGTTCTGATGAGGTCAAATCATGAAACCATTCCAGTCGATTCGCGCTGATTGGATGCGATATTTTTACATGAGGCTAACAGTTTGGCTTGGCTGGACGGTTTCCAGGTGTGACAGATATTCAGAGGTCGTTTGGTATGTGACAGTGCCAAGTTTGACTGGTCGGAAGTTCACTGGTACCGCAAAAGTGCAATAGACCTTATCGTTTGAAGACTATTCAACTGTATTCTCAGTAGATTTAATTGAAGGCATGTTCTTTAATTGAAAGAGGATTCACGCTGTAAATTGGGCAGAGGGACACATGTCAGGGAGACCCCACTTAACGTGCAATCGGAGGGTGCAAAAAATTGGTTCTCAAATCAAAGGGAAGGATGAAAGACACGTACTTAGACCTAAGGGCTATGTGAAGGTTGGTGAATTTGTGCATTTTAAGTACGGTTAGAGGGTAGTGATGGGACACGCACAGTCAAGTTGAGGCTGCTCATGCTAAGTGTTCGTAGAAACAGGAGTGAGGGAAGCGGTTTGTGAGGAAGAAGACGCTTTTTCAGAGTCCACTTCACCACTTCCTTCTTCTCTGACTGCCCCAACACTACCCTTTCCCAAGCCGTTAGGTGTACCTTTTTGATGTACACATCTTCATTTTACATATGCAAATATATTTATATTTATTCATTTATTTTATCTATATTCATTTGTTATATTTAGATTTATTTATATTTTATGTACACACATTCCATCACACTTCTTGTCATTTCACACAAACGGCCATTTAGCCAGCCATGGCCAAATTTTTGCTGCCGTTTGCCTCGAGTCTTAGAATCGTCTAAAACTCAAACGAATGCCCTTAATGAAACACTTCTTGCCTTAAGCAGGCAGAACCGAGCCACCCGCAAAGGCTTGGCTGGAGGCCCCGATTTGGTCATTAGGCTTCATTCTACCTGGAGCCCCTTAAGTGCCATTTCCCCATCAAGGGCCGAAATGTTAACGGCCCTTGTATGGCCTCGAAAACTCAGTCTCTGCCTCCCCCAAGAGTGCTCAGCTCGTGGCCACCTGCTTTCCGCAGCGAATAAGCTTGCCTGGCCAGAATGTTGCCCAAATCAGGTGCGGAAATCGCTGTCCTGACCCCTCATGAAATGGACGGTTGGCTCACCTGAGAAAATAGGTACATCGCAGAATTAGGATAGGGCAAGACCGGCAGATGGTTCGACTCCCGCTGGGGGTGTTGATAAGACCGATGCGAGGTCGAGACTGCAGTCCACTTCAGCCTGGATGAGGACAACTTTTGGGACAACAAGGCAATGTGAAATTCAATGGAAACGTCAGTTCTACTCATGTCATTGTGGGAAAATTCTACTATCAGTCCTTCATTACCTTCAACGAAATAGGGTGAATACATCTCATATAGATGGTTTAATTGTCGTCTACCTCACGTAAAGAAGTCTATAATTGCCCCGCCTGAAGGAAATCAGGAGTGACAAATTTATCGGCCTGATATTGAAAGTTTTTTGGACAAAAGATGCAGGGAAACACTGCACGACCTTCTCATTCACTGGACAGTTGGTGACACCTCTGAAGGAAGCTCAGACCTAAATGCGTCGAGGAAGGTTGCATGCAAGGGTTCGTATGTCGACAAACTAAAGGTGCCGAATGATGACATTTCAGACTCAATTCGTAGATCTGGTCGAATTTTCGATTTGCCATCCGAGTCGCTAAGTCAAAATCGAGCCCGAAAGATCCAAAAATCGTATCTTTATATGAAATCTATGTTCAATGACTTCAATTTGTTCCGATTTTTTTCCTTATATGAGAATGTGAGGAAAGCCGCCTCACGGATTTGCCTCATGAAAGCTCGAAGAAAACTCGCCCAGTCGGTCTAAATGCCAATTTAGGCAAGGATCGCATAGCCACAGCTGTTACTGCAAATGCTGAGAAAATAAGTGGTGTGTCCTCTTCTTCGCAACTTGGTCGTGTTGGTATCGTGTCTTAGATGGACTCATCTTGTCCGCAGACCTCTGTCACAGGAGTCATGTTAATTTCCAACATTGTACCATGAACTTGGTACATTTTAAGGCGGTGCCGGAAAGGTACCAAGTTCATTTCTCTGCAGCGAAAGGGACCACGACCAAAATAGAGCTCCCATCGTTTAGGCCTTATTAGCTTCAAACAGGTTGAGATACCAAGGCTTGGGATTTGGTCTCTGGCAGACATTCACCAGTCTGGGTACACTTTTACATTACATCGTCGCAACAAGTAAGGCGAGTTAAAACTATATATGATATTTTCAGCAACCTATTCCATCTTCCGACGCGCAAAAGCGCAATAATTCAGCCAACTAAATAATCAGTAATATGAGATGTATTCACCCAATTTCGTTGAAGGTAATTAAGGACTGGTAGTAGAATTTTCCCACAATGATATGAATAGAGCTAACGTTTACGTTGAATTTCATATAGCATTGATGAGAACAAATTTGCGGAAAGCAGGGCTATGTGAAATTCAATGGAAACGTCAGCTCTTCTCATATCATTGTGTGAAAATTCTACTAGCAGTTTTTCATCACCTTCAACGAAATAGGGTGACTACATCTCATATTACTGATTTACTGGTAGTCTCAAAACTCTACTTAAATAAATACGATAAATAACCGAAGACGATCTTCTTTGGATTAGTTGAAGCAAATTTATACAGAAAGACACGGATTATTCAAAATCCACAGTTTTAACATTTTATTGCAGGTTAATTAATATATTAACATATTATTGGTGTATATTATTTTGTATAGCATAGACACTATAAAAGTAGATTCTTGATTATGACAATACATACTCCGGCTAACCAAACTTTTACTGGCCTTATAAAAGTTCCATATACTGTTTCGCTTCAAAGGTGTTTGTCAATTGAGATCTGGGTCTTTAACTGGCCACAGAACCCCTCAAACAATAGATCCCCCTTCAAGAGAAGCTTGAATTTGTAGGTTGGGCAAAAGAATTTGCATTAAAGGAAACCTAAATGCGCAAGGCCACTTGGTTGTGTCATGGAGAAAGATTAAATTAAGTCATTTGTTTCTAAAAATAACTGAATTATGGCGAATGTATGCAATTTTACTACGGATAAAGGGAATATTAAAGATTCATATAATCACGTCTCTTTACCAAGACTGCTCATGTCAAGTGTCACTAGAAGGATTAGGTGGGGATGAGTTCATTCCGACATATCCGTTAGAGCCCAAAGCTTGGCACGCCTCCGTATCACATGACTATTTATGAAATATAGCGCTTGCTCAATGACATCTTCAACAACCTTTATCTTCCTGCATGAAGAAGATGTAATGAATAGAACAGCCATCTTCGATCCCTTTCGAACCCGAAACCGCCGCATTCTTTAAGAAAGAATGAAATATTACACTTGATAATTAAAAGCTGATGAATAACATTTTAGTGGGGAGCATAAATACCTCTGAGGGGTTTCCTGAAGAATCAAACGAGAAATGAAAATTTCGGTTCAGAGAAAATTGAAAATATTCTGTGGAACAAATCAACTTATCGTCTATTACCAAAGAACCCGACATATAGGGCCAAGCAGGGGCTGAAAGAAGTGTTGAAAGAAATTGAATACGAAATTATAAAATGATGCAAGAAAACAGGCAGCCAAAAATGCACATAGAACATGAATAAGTAAGCTTTATAGTCAAAAACAAGTGTTAAACAGCACACATACTGGAGTTAGTGAATTGATGGACTAACTAATACAGTGAAGAATTTACATGAATCTTTTAAAGGACCATGGAAGCATCAGAGCTAGTTGAGGGATCGGATAGATAGCCCATGTTTACGAACATCTTAGGAGAG